AGACAATTTTAATAGTATAAGTCCAAGTTTGAGTATTAGTAGAACATTTATAAATGTAGATAGATATGTGCTCATATAGCCAAAGTTTGGTAAAATCACACTGGAAGGCAAAAATGGATCACATACTCACATATCAATTGCACTGTGAATTTAAGTAGCCGACCTGTCCCCAGTACTTGAAAAAAGTGAAGGGATCTTACGGTATTACTGGAGTCTGACTGGTGTGGCTCAGTGGTTGAGTGTTGACCCGTGCACCAAGAGGTTGCCAGTTCATGGTCAGGGCACATGCCCAGGTTGTAGGCCCAGTCCCCAGTGTGGGGCATGCAGAAGGTGGCTAACCTGTGTTCTCTCTCATCAATGTTTCTCTCTCTCCCTCTCCCTTCCTCTCTCTCTAAAAATCAAAAAGAAAAAAAAAATTTTAAGATATTATTGAAAATTTTAAAATATTACTAAAACAAAAAAATGTCTTGAAGTCTATTTCTGAGGCAGAGGTGATCTTATTAAATGTTTACGTGGCCAATGGACAGGATGAGGAGTAACTGCAGGAGCCTAAGACCTGTTGGTTTGAAGGCATTTTTATCAGAAACTCAAATGAGTCAGTAGGGAATATGGGCAATATCTGATTCCTGAAGTGCCACAATATTCTGATATTAAAATTCTCATTATAATGAATATTTCCATTATTTAAATATGTAGCTGTAGCTTTCATACAATGTATGTTTAAGATAATATTTCTAATTTTTTGAAACCTGATCATGTAGCAGAGAGTAAGTAATGGCTTCGAAGAACACTTGGTCTTTTAAGCATATATAAACTGCCTCCTCTGTGCCAGGTATGAGCACTTGAGATAATGATGATGAAAGTGGGGAGAAGGCGATTGGTTGGCCTGAGCTGCCATTCACACCCCTTTACCTAGTTCCTCTGGTAGCTGGGATGTCCGTGAGTTCCCTGGCCTGGCCCAAGATACAACTTGTGGGTTTAGAATAGACACCTATTATGGACTGAATGTTTGTGCCCCCCCTCCCCAATTCATATGTTTGTGCCCTACCCCCAAGATGGGGCTTTAATGAGGTAATGGGGGTCGGATGGTGTCATGAGGTGGGGCCATCATGATGGCATCAGTCCCCTTATGAAGAAACACGGAAGAGCTCTCTGCTCTGCGAGGGAACAAAGAAGAGGGTGTGTGAGCACCTGTGAGAGGGTCGCCTACCAACCACGAGAAGGGGCTTCAGGATGAAACCTACCTTGTCAGAATTCCCAGTCTTCCAACCTGTGAGAAATCCATTTCTATTGTTTAAGCCTCCAGCCTATGGTGTTTTGTTATGGCTGCCGAGCAGATTAAGACACCTCACCTGTCAGTGAAGCAAATCAGCCCAGATTGGGACCACAAGTTATTCTGAGAAACCATGCTCCCAGTTTCACTAATGGGACGGAACTACCAGTTATTAATTACAGAAAGGAGTAAACAGGCAGTTTTCTGCCCTGGACTTTAGAAAGCCATTTGAGGGTGTTTTCTCCCCTTAGTTATATGATAAATCAATAAAAAAAACTGTGAGTCCTATAGAGACCCCATCTGATGAGAACAAGATTTCACCATTGATTAGACTAAATCTCCTGAATACTGTAGTTCTAAACTTAACAATTTCGTCATTGAAGAAAGAGCAATTCTAGCTGTAACAATCAGTTGATTAACAAGATTCTTCTGTTACTTACTGGAGATGTTATAAAAAGCAGTCTTTATAAAAGCTTTTTAAGCTTTTTATTTTTTAAACTTTTTATTTTTTAAAACAATGTTATATTCCTGAATTAATTTTAATAACTAAACAATATTTAGGTTGGCCAAAATATAATTGTTATAGGGAAACCATATTAAAGAATAATGATGCTATTTTCACATTATTTATAGCCAAACGTTCACATCCTTATGAAGCCCAGTGCTTGGTTCAATGCCTTATCTCTTAACATTCTTAATTTATCACAATTCATTTCTGAGGAGAGTAAATGCCTGATTTACTAGCATCAGACCAAATAATTATGAATAACCAAAATGGTCAACATTGGGAAACACAATATAATTTTTATAGTTTGTAGCTAATTGAACTAACAGTTTAAATTAAAACAATGTTATATTCCTGAATTAATTTTAATAACTAAACAATATTTAGGTTGGCTTTTTTTTTTAATCACTGAACAACCACTTAGAGAAAATGCTGTGGAGGGAAATTAAAATTTAAAAATAAGCTATGTAATCTTTATGGTCTCTTCTAACCCTGACACTCTTTCTATGAAATAGAATTTCAAAAAATTATTTGATTTACAAATGAAAAAGGTGATGATTTGTCCAGAACGCTGATCTTGGTCATACATACATTTAAATCGTTTTAAAAATGAACATTTGGAATTTAACTAAGAAGCATACTAAAAAGGGGGAGCGGACGTCTTATTCTGCTCACACATTTATTCTCTATTTGAGCAAGTAAAATCATAAATAAAATGAAACGTGTTATTTAGGTAAAGGAAAAAACCCACAACTTAAATTTTAGTTGTTTTGTAAATAGTTATTTAAATTAAACTGATAAATTTCTCTAAACAATAAGTCAGTGTAGTCCTTTGCACACAGTAGGTAGATATCAATGTATGTATGCGAGTATATTTGTTTAGCTAAGTGAATTCAAATTAATTTTCTATTTCAAATCTGTTAAGAATAACAGAAAAAGTGTATGAAGTATAACTTTCTAAGTAATGTAGTACTTATTTAAGTGATCATAAATAGTTCAGAGAAGATTCATCATTCAGTTAGAATGGGAGAAACTCTGCAAAGAAAATGAGCTAAATGTTACATTTTCTAAAAGTACAGTGATTTTAAGGACATTTTATATATTCAGAATGTAACCTTAAATACCAAACTATTGACACTAAACACCCTAAATTACTCTGAATTTACTCAAATCCCAGTAATTATTTTTTAAGACTCTAAGATGAAGTGTGTGTGTGTGTGTTTAAATAAGTGCAAAATTCACCTTGAAACATCTTTATTTGCAGTGATCATTTAGATGACTTTCCAAAATAGAACTAAACAAAACATTTGAGTCAGTATCCTATTCCACTAGCATCAATGACAAAATACTGCTGGTGAAATGTGTTCAGAATTTAGAAGAATCATTTTTAGAAATGACAGTTGATTTAATACTTGCGGAAACCCTGCATATAAAACATATATACAGATACAATGAAAGTTATAAACAACTTACTTTTTAAATTTTTTATTGAATGATTTTTAACCAATTCACATTATAAAAGAATGTACACTTGTATTAAATTTCATACTTTGGACACCATTTACAAAATCAATTTATCATAATCTGATCAAATATTCCTTGGCACACTAATCAAGGATTTAATTTCCCGTTCATAAAAATAATAATAACAGCCCTGGCCGGTTTGGCTCAGCGGTTGGAGTGTCGGCCTGCGGTACAGAGAGACCCGGGTTCGGTTCCCGCTAAGGGCATGTACCTAGGTTGCAGTTTGTCCCCGGCCCTGGTTGGTCGTGCGGGTGGCAGCCACTCGATGTGTCCCTTCACATCGATGTTTCTCTCTCTCTCTCTTCCTCTCTCTCCCTCCCGCTCTATCTGAACAAAGAATGGAAAAATGTCCTTGAGTGAGGATAAAAAAAAATAATAATAAAAAAAATAAAATAAAAAATAATAATAATAATAACAAATAAAATAAATTTGAACTCTGGCAAAGTCAATGACATGGGTGTGTCATGACAGAAGAGAATGTGTGCCCTGGAAACTGCCAGGAAGCGCAGACCAGAGACTAGGCCTGCGATTCCAGAATTTTGTGGTTCACTCAAGTACAAATCACTAAACCCCTTTAAAAATAAGTGCCTGGCCCTGGTTGGAATTGCTCATTGGTTAGAGCGTCATCCCATGCACCAAAGGGTCTCGGGTTTGACAAACTGGTCAGGGCACATTCCCAGGTTTCGGGTTTGACCCCCAGTAGGGCACACATGTGACGCAACTGATGTGTTTCCCTCTCACATTGAAGTTTCTCTCTCCCTCTCCCTTCCTCTCTCTAGAATCAATTAAAAACATACTCTCAGGTAAAGATTAAAAAATAAAAAATAAAAAAAATAAGGGCCTGGCCAGTATGGTTCAGTGGATGAAAATTGACCCAAGCACCAAGAGGTCACCGGTTTGATTCCTGGTCAGGCCAAATGCTGGGGTTTCAGGCTCAATCCCCAGTGGGGGGCGTGCAGGAGGCAGCCAATCCATGTTTCTCTGTCATCGATGGATGTTTCTATCTATCTCTCCCTCTCTCTCTAAAAATCAATAAAATCATATTTAAAATAATAATAATAAGGGCCTGAACTAAATTCCCTTTTACAGCCATTCAGCTAATATCTATCTCTTCATCCAGGAAATATGCATCAGGTGCCCCACGACACCCACTGGACTCTGTCTACTGAGGTCGCCATGATGGCCAGAGTGACTGTACAGCCTTGGTCCCTAATGAAAATCATCAGAACCTTCTTTTAAAAATTATTCTTAGATTATATTCATTTTAAGGACTGTATTTAAAATTACTAATCAGAGAATTCACCAAGAATAATATGCCTATGGCCCTATGAAGAAAGCTGAATTTTGTCAAGGGGCAAAAAAGGCTCTCACTTGAAAAATAGAATTGCTTGTCCAAAAAATACATAGCAGACTGTGGCATAAAATGATTTGCCTTTCAATACACCATTTACAGCTGCTGGACTGTCTCCCCTACGCATGCATGAAAAGTCCGTGGTTTAAACACTAGATAAATAAAAACGTTGAGATCTTCAAAAGTCTTAGCTTCCCTAAGCTAAGATTTCAAACTAGATTTATTTCATTGGACGAAGTATTTCTCCCATTTTAAATAAGACACACTTCAGTTGATATTTTTCAAAGCAGTAAAATAATTGATAGTTTCGTTTATAAAGCTATTCCTTAAAATTCTTAAAAAACAACAACAAAAAAAACCTAAAGTTTCTCAGACCCAAGAGAAAACAATATACACACTGAGGGCATGAACTGAATGGGTCCATCTCAGAGTAGTACTAAGTGTTGCAAATTTTTGTCTCTAACTTGGTTGAAAGTGTTACTGTCTACCTCTGTATCTGCAGTTTCACATTTAATATGCAACTGGCATATTAAAGAATATTAATTCTTTAAAAGAATATTAGATTCTTCTTAGAGTAGGACCCTGAGAATAAGTCCATTGAGAAATCACATTAAAGTACCAGCTTGAAGTTTTAAAGAGTCTAATTTTTAAAAAGGCAGAAAGAACTTTTTTTTCCCCCTTAAACCAAACTTACCACCATGCAAAGAAGAATATATACTGGGCATCGAAATGCCCGTCTAGTTCCAATATCTTTACCTAAACGTTTTTTAAATGTAGGAAAATCTCCTAATTTTGAAACTTTATAAAAATGTTGAAATGCTACTAATAGGGTTCAAGTCCAGGCATCACCTATGAAGTGGTCTTGCTACACTAATCAGAGCCGGTTTTCTCTGCGGTGAGGTGGCCCATGGCCTGGTGCCAGGTTCCTGTTATCCGTAAGTACAGTCGGCATCATCCCCGTGAATCCAGAAGCAAATCTGGGCGAACTTGAGGGGAGTGATGCGCACCGCCACGTTGTAGTCCTTCTGCACGCCGTGGACGTCCACCCACTGGTGGCCGGAGTAGACGGCGATGAGTTTGCGTTTCCAGTTCTTTCTGTCTGGCTCTTTGAGACGCAGGTAGACCCCGGAGCCAGTGGAGCCCGACTCGGCATCGCAGTATTGATAGAGGAGGTCATTGGATTCCTCGGACACGCTACAAAAGCGGTAGACCAGCTGGTCTGCTCGGTCCTGATCGAATCCTGAGAAGTGGATCATGCCGCCCGGCAGCTTCCTGATGGCTGGGCTGATTCCTAATTCCATGAATCTCTTTTTGTGAGCTCGCTTCAGCTCCAGGAGAGCGTAGTCATAGTCCAAGGCTGCGTCCCTTCTCCCCCCTGTCGCCCAGCCCTTGGGGATGTGGGTATGCTTGACCCGGGTCCACTGGAAGGAGGGCCTGCCCCCAGCAAGTCCCGGACCCCGAACAGATGCCTTTCTCCTCCTTCCAGCCCTGGCGCGCCCCTTGCCCTGCTCTCTGCCGCCCTCGCTCTGCTCCCCGCCCTCCGCTTCTCGCCTGCTCCTCGGGGAGGCCCTGCGTTTCTTGCCACCTCCCTTATTTCTCGTCCTCAGCAACCCTACCCTAAGCTTCCTACTCCCTTTGACGTAGTCCTCCCCGTCGTGGACGCAGTGGGCCGCGGTGAGGACGTGGCTGGGGGAGACGAGCGTGCCGCTGCAGCCCGTGGACAGCTTCACCGCCGTGTTGAAAGGGAAATTGGTTAAGAACCTTTTGTCCAAGATGCTGAACCTGCTGTCTGTGCCGTACACCTGTCTCTTCCTCCTAACGGCCGCTCTTCTGGTGGTGATGTTTGGGGTTGGCTCACGGATCAACCCGTGGACTTTCACTCTGGTCAAGGTTCGGGTGCCGTTCTCAAAGACCGTCTCGTAGGAGAGAGACTCCTCCAGGTCCGACAGGCTGGGGGCTGGGCGCTCTTTCTGGCATTCAATGCCACACGCCTTCTTTAGCACCATCCTGGCGGCTGCCTCAAAGGCGGGGCTGGTGAGGTGGAAAGTTCTTTCACTGACAACCCGGGGTGCTTTTCTCAAATGCCACATAAAATCCTGTTCCATCTCTGATCCATCAGTGAGGGTCCACCCAAGGGTGAAAAATATCAACCAAATTAGCGTATTTTCCATTTTGTTCTTCTCTTTGGTCCTTAAAAAGCAGAAAAAGAACAGAGAAGCTTTACAGCGTTTTCATTTTAGATAGTTATGCATGTCATTTAGGCTTTGGGAGCTAAATGTACCTTCACCACAAATAGGGTCATTATTTTCACCGTACTTAGGTTTTATTGTGATTAAACACCCTGCTGAGTAGACTGATACAGATTTCCATAATCAGTACATTGTTTTTCACCCAACCTCCCATCCACCAGCTCGAATTCCCCTCCTCCCACCCCCGCCTGCCATCTCCACCTCTACCTCCCCAGACAGCCCAACACTTGGCAGATTAGGACAGGATGGCTAACTAGGGACCTCTGTTGTCCAAGCTACACCCTTGTCCTTCCTAGCTCTCCTCCAACCTTATTTCCAGATGATTTAGACATAAAGATAGCAGATGTCCTGCACTTTCTCTGCACTTGGCAGGGATGAGATCCCTCATCTCTAGAGTGTAAATGCCTGGAACAGAGCTCAAAAAACATTCATTAGAATACAGGGAATTTCCCTGAACCATGGTTTGCAGACCAAGCTGATTGATGACATAATTGAAATCACCAGATACTATTCTAAAAGCAGTAGAGGTTTCTGAAATATGTAAATGGGGTCATCTGCTATTGGCCTGCTTTGATTTTTACAAGCAGAGTCCTTTATCATAAAAATACACACACACACACACACACACACACACACAGAGGCTATTTTATGCTAAAGTAAGAAAAATGTACCCTCTGTTCTTCTTATTTTAATGTTTTAACAAAGTGGTGCCTGGAGCTACCATCTAAGCAAAGCAACATAGAATAATGCTTCAAAGTGGGATTTTACTGTATGTTAAAATTAGTTACAAGAATGTATGGAGCACAGGCTATGGTTCAAAATTGGCCACTTGGGGGAACATGATTACCATTAAATATGTATTCCCTTTTATCACGGTCTCATCATCTAAGAGCAGTGCTTTTGTGTGAAGTAGTTTGGAAGTTGTCAGTACTGATGAATCACATAGTGCCTCTTCCTGTATTTACATCTTCTTGCTCTCTGTGCCTGCTTCTCTAGGCTCACGGGATGTAAATCTATGTAAAGAAACTGATGTTTGTCAGTTGTTGCTTCCTGAGGGTGGGGGCAGTGGTAGCACCCTTTGGAGCAGCAATTTTGAAATTTATAAACTATGCGCCAAGTCGTTTTCAACTAATAGCTAAGATCCAGGCTTAGCAAATGATATGCACTTAGTATAGAATAGAGGCAAATTCAAGGTTACATTATTCCTACAATACTTTGACTCTCAATGCTTTCTCATAAACTTTTTTTGGGGGGGAGGCGTGGAAAACAAAAGGAATGAAGAATGTTAGGAATTTTTCTCAACCCAGTGCACGCCCATAGGATCCTGTGCACTGGCATGAAAACCAACGGTTGTCTCTGATGCAGAGTTGAATACAGGCATCGCTTGCTACGACAGAGTTCATTTTGCCATGTATAAGTACAGAATTTTATTAACAAACTAATTAACATTAACAAACTAATAACATTCCTTTGATAAAACAAAAACATATACTACATAACCTCTTTATTGTTTAAACACAGTATATTCACCAAATATGACATAAAATTAATTTGAACCCCCATACAACTTATAATAATCTTTACCATGACGGGGCATTAGCAAGATTATATAGAAGTTTTGCAATTTTGGTTTTTTTTTTATCTGCTCATACTTGAATGCTGAGTAACAGTGATTCTGGTTAATATTAGACTGTACTGTTTGTTGAGTAGCTTGTAACTTGTTTTATTTGGGGAAGAAATGAATATTGTCCAAAAATCAATAAAGAATATACTTCGAACCCTGGCCCAGTGTGGCTCAGTTGATTGAGCGTTGTCCCTTGCATTCTGGCCAGGGTACATGCCCAAGTTTCAGGTTTGGTCCCAGTCAGGGAGGCCACTGATGAATGTTTCTCTCTCCCTCTCTTCCTCTCTCTCTAAAAATCAATAAAAGCATTTTTTAAAAATCTTATTCTTTATTTAGAGAGACAGGAAGGGGGAGAGAGATAGAAACATCAATGAGAGAGAACATTGATTGGCCACCTCCTGCATGCCCCCCATTAGAGATTTGGCCTGGTTATGTGTCCTGACCGGTAATCGAACCAGCAACCTCTCAGTGCATGGGTCGATGCTCAACCACTGAGCCCACTGGCCGGACTAAAAGCTTATCTTTTTAAAAGAAAGAATGTACTTCAGAAAGGAATCCACACTAATGTCACAATATTTTCTAATCATTACCATGGCAAATTTGACTTTATGCAGAGCAGTAATTATATTAATAATAATTTTGTTAAGCCATTTAGTATTTCCTTTTGTTCTATGTCATTTTCACAGTAATTATTTCATCAATTTTATTCAATTGAATTGGAGTGCAAAAGGCTCAGTATCAACTCAGTAATTCTACTGAGACCTTGAAATCCTATGCTTAACTGGGTAGTTCCCAAGATGAAAAATTATGTCTTTGGAAAAAAAAGTTAAAATCAGAGTGTTATTTGCTGCCTCTGCGCTTATCAACAGACTAAAATAGATGGCTAAAAAAATATATTTTTTTATCTACCTGATTCTCAGCAAAATTTTGGTCAAGGGAGTTATTTTGGTCTGGGAAACAAGTTTTAAAAATTGATTTTTTACTTAGCCCTTTATATTGGTAGCTGTCTATTGTGTGCTTTATATATGATTACATCAAAGACTGAAAGTCGGCCATGTGTCTTCATTGAGAAAACATGGAATCACTTTGTATATATGAAAACTTGATACTCATGATCTGTGGAGTAATACATGTGGGCCAGTGATTCCTGGACAAAACAGAGTATGTCTCAATCATGGTGCTGCAGAATTGTTTCCCCAGTTAGTTTTTGTTTGTTTTGTTTTGTTTTGTTTTAAGTATGATTTAATTTAGTCTTACAACTTTTTATTTACTTAGGAATTAGAAAGGCAGAATGCAGATATTAAATAACTGACAAAATGATCTTCTACTCTACATATCATTGAACTAGAATATGAATCAAAAATATCGACGTTTCCCTACACTTTACCAAATAAAACATGTGTTCTGTGTCATAATTCTGTAGGCCGACTTTTAAGAAAGCCCCATATAAATAGTTTTATGTGTCGCCCTGGCCAGTTTGGCTCAGTGGTTAGAACGTCGGCCCTCAGTCCAGAGAGACCTGGGTTCAGTTCCCGCTAAGGGCATGTACCTCGGTTGCAGTTTGTCTCCAGCCCCGGTTGGGTCATGCGGGAGGCAGCCACTCGATGTGTCCCTTTCACGTCAATGTTTCTCTCTCTTCCTCTCTCTCCCTCCCACTCTATCTGAACAAAAAATGGAAAAATGTTCTCGAGTGAGGATAAAAACGAATGAATGAATGAATGAATGAATGAATAGTTTTATGTGTCAACTGGACTAAGCCACAGGGTGCCCAGAAATGAGGCTGAACATTACCCTGGATGTGTCCATGAGGGTGTTTCTGGATGAGCATGACATTTGAATTAGTAGACTGAGTAAAGCAGTTTTCTCTCCCTAATGTGGGTGGGCCGCACCCAATCAGTTAAAGGTCTGAACAGAACAAAAAGGCTGACTCTCCTGTGAGTAAGGAAAAATTCCTCCTACCTAACTGCTTTAAGCTGAGACACTGATTTTCTTCCTGACTTTGGACTCAAAATGAAATATGAACAACTCAAAAGAATGGTATTAATTTGTTAATAAAATTCTGTACTGGTATAGGGCAACCTATAAACTCTGTCATATCAAAGGATGCCCAGATTGTAGTCCCCAGAGTAGCTCTGTCAGCATGACCTGGGAACTTGTTAAAAATGATCATTTCAGGGCCCGACCACCTACTGTCCAAAGCTCTCCGGGAGGTGGCAGGTTCCCAGCTATCTGTTTTAAAGAGCCCGCCAGGCAATTCTGATCCTCAGTACAGTTTGAGAACCACAGCAGCATCCCAGGCCCTGCTACAGTAGCTTGAGCCACACCCCAGAAAACAGTCTTTCCAGGGATGATTGCTTGACCAGGTTTCAAATGATATAGCTTTCATGTTTGTACACAAAATAAATTTATCCTGAATGTTGCTCTTTTACTATGTCAGCAACTGGTAATATTGAATGGTTCGGGGGCTTAATAAAGAAAAAAACGTAACTTTTTCATAAGTGCCTCAATAATATGTCTGAAAAGATTCAGATTCAGTAGGCTTGTATGTGATGCCACAGACCATGCGAGGGCATGCGTTTGCCAGTCCTGCCTGGTGCCCTTCGAGCGAGACCCACAGGAATAAAAGCCATGCCCACATCTATACTTGGGCATGGGAAGGGCAGAGCCTTGTAATATGACCTCAGAATCACAGTAATAAGAGGAATGGATTTAGTTAGCCTGTCTAATTTAGCCTGTAATTTAAAATTGGACAAATGTTTATGGACACTTTCTTTTGGAAAATCTAAGTTTGCCTTGTGGTAAAATGTCAATGTAATGTAAATGACAGCTCTCACTGATATAGCAGCCCATAGTTCAGTGGATATATCTCCATATGCCCATTATCCAGAAAGGGCTAACTCATCGACCTAAGAGATACAGTCCTCACCGGTGGGGCAGCTATAATATTTTGAAATATTTAATGCCCCTTGTCTTCCCTCATCCTCCTTCCTTTTTCCAGTCTTCCATTTCATGGTAACCTTAACTGTCACTTTCTAGATGGCTTGGATTTGAGGCTTTAAATTCCAATGTTGTTAATGAGAGTGAGGTTGCAGCCATGGTGCTCCACCACGAGTCGGTGTACACACAAATTATGGGTGAACCATGGAAATAAAATGGAGTAGAAGGGAATTAAGAAGGAAGCAAAAATATCAGGATATGCAGGTGAACTTGTACTGATAGAGCAAATACTATTGCACATATGTACCTGGTCTATAGTTACAGAAATGACCAATACATAACTACAAAAGATGACTTATTGTTACTCTCCTGTTCGCTTG